ACAGCTGGAGTCAGATAACAGATTTCCACAGTACTGTTAAAACATGTTTGCTTTCATAATATATCTAGTGGGACTGGAAACCATGCAATTCTGCAAAGTTCAAGAAGAAACCTAGGGTTCTTCTTGTTTTTTTGTTCATGTAGGAACATTACTCATCCTCCCAGTGAAAATCCAGAGGAACAGTGCATACTAGGACAGGAACAAGGAAGGCCTGAAGGCACACAAGCAAAAGGAATGGTTTTAGATGCACTTCCTATACACCTTCCAATGATAAAATTCATTCACTGCTAGCAGGGTGTCTAGAAAGCCTTTGTCATAATACAGCCCTTTAGGTTAATGCAGTATGCTTCTGATGTGAAAAAACACACTTTAAAAGACACACTTTACAGTAATTTCCTGCTCTCACCACCTTCCTTAGCATTGCAAATGTATCTTCTTGTTAACAAAATGTATTCTTTGACACACAACACTGAAAAATGAATAGCCCAAGAAAGAAAAATGAAAAACAACTGAGTTGAATCTATGCCAAAAATGACTCATTTTTCTTCCAAATTCTCTCTTCCATAGAAACAACAGAAGATTATTCACCCCCATTGTGTTGACTTATTGTTCACCCTCATCAGTCTGAAGACTGGATCATGTCTATGATTCATTATAGTAACACCATTCACATTTGTAATGTAAGGAAGTGCTTTCTATCTGTTAATCTAAATATGCATGTACAGCAACACTGCTAAACCTCCAGCTGGAGTCAATTCTATCCTCCTTTCCATTTAATCTAATCTATAATTCATGTGATATGGTTTTCACCAACAAACGTCTCTCAAGACTGTACATACCTTGAAATGTTCATGTGAATCTGGACAGACTGCAGACTGATCCTACAATTGGAAGAGTGATCACCTAACTGCCTGTTGTTAAATGTGTATACTGAAGCACAGACATTTGGTATTAGTGGTGTCTCATTAACTCCTGCATGAAAGCAGACTGTGCCAACAGTTCGTTTGGGTCAATTACTTCAGCACTGCCCTACTGACTACAAGTGACAGTGGAATTGTCACCTGGTGGCAATTGCTTAGCTAATTCTGTCAGCTCATATTAAGAGGGCTTGTTCTTGGAATTAAAGACAAAATTGGAGGGGAAAATTCATTTCAACTCAGTCTGACACTCCAGAGATAATCAGAACTTGCTAGTTTCAAACAATAGGCTGTTTTCTAATACAAAGTATATTGCAGACAGAAAAGTATATCTGCAATCCAAATTTATAGCGTGTCTGCCCACGCTATAAAACCAATGCATTACTAAGTGTACTGACTTACAAAGGTTGTCCATACAAAGAAATCAACACTGTTCAGTCTGAGCAAACATTACCACAGACAAATTTTCAATTATCTTTTAAAACTGGGTGTTCTTGCAGTAAAGAATAGAATGGTTTTGGTATGAGATATATATCATTGTCCTCCCCCACCACTACTCACCAAATGCAATACAGAACAGAGAAGGAAAATGAAGTAATAAAAAGGAATTAGCTTGGAATATGAACTTTGAAATATACTGTACCTATAGTACATGCTATTTCAAGAGATATGGAATGGAGAAATCATATTTTCATCCAGGTGGATGCTGCACATTTGTGGTGGAAAAGCATCCAGAAAAGTGCTATATAAGAGTAAGCAATTATTATTATTATATTTTCACATTGTCTGATGCAATATTCCAGGTGATGCCTGTTTTATTATTTACAACACCTCCTACCATGCCATGTCCAGGTCCTAAAAAATTTCTTTGCATAAGAAAATTAGAAATGCAGGACTACACATTAAAAGACATTAAACATGAGAGATGGTGCATTTACATCTAATGATGAGCAAAAATGGATTCGAAATATTTGGGATGATGAAGAGGCATGGACACGCCTGGCCGCACAGTACTGTTTGCTAATGCTTCTATAGATTCCAGTTACTTCCAAAGCCACTCAAGCTAAGAAACAACTGTGGACAGTTTAATGACAAAAAATACAGTATTGAATCTGAACACAACGCTTTTTAACAACCTCCTGAAGTTAACTGAATGTCAGTATTGACATGGTTTTGATCTGGGAACACAGCAGGGGTATGTAGAGCTCAGCAAATCTCAAACCACACCACCAGCATAGCCATCCACGAGTGAACAGCACAATCTGAAGAGATGAGCCGATTCATTTGATCCAAGGCCTCGAGTCATGTGTGTATGCCCACTCACTCATCTGAAGCATGTGACGTCTCCAGACATCTGGTTATGTCTGGTATCAGGGACCAAGCACGCAGCATTTTTTTTTAAACTTAATTCGCAAAGGACAAACTTCTTACCCACGACTGTTCACAAGCCATCTGAAAAAAAAACAATCACCATGCTACCTAGCCTCATCTCTACAAAGGAAACAGCATTATTTTGCATGAAAAAGAGGGGGAAAAAACAGATTGCCTCACAAATGCTGGCAGGGGAAAGGGCTCTTGGCTCTGCACAGAGAAAGGCTCCAGTGGAAAGCCCTTTCCTTTGTCACTGCGTGATCCCAACAGGTTTTGTTGGTTCACTCAGTTCATAGGAAGAAAGATGTGAAGTGTGTTAACACACAACCCCATTCACCACTGCTCTCAAGGGAAAGATCACAGTGTGTCCAGAGCTCTAGTGTCACAATGGTGGAGTGTTTGGATTGAGAACACTGTTTGCCTCTGTAGATTAACCTCACTAACCTACACAGTCCTTACTGATAAAACCTACAGCACATAAATCATGACAGTACTTTCGGACCAGTTCAGTAAAACACCACTGATTTCCCCTTCAAAATTGCACATTACATTCTAAACCTACAGAGCCTGCACATTTATTTTTTGTGTACTAAAACGGCTTTGTAATCAAGTTTTTTTGCAATATTGTTTGCCGGATAAGGAATATCCTGACAGTTCAGCAGAACCCATGATAAAACCTACAAATTGACCTATCAAATTCAAAGAGCTTTATTGGCATGACTGATGAGTTACAGTGTTGCCGAAATAATAACAACTAGCCAAACATTTACACTTACAAGAAAAACATAATCATTATTGTTGGTGTTCATTTACAAACATTAGTATTGCAGAGGCTTATTCTCTGTTCCTCAGGCTAGGACATGAGATCACATACTGGACTGCAGCTCTACTGAGATTCAAAGTAACTAGGAATGTACTTGCCTATCATCAATCTGTGATTTGTGGTACAGTACATTACATCTTTCATATTCGGACTATGGTCATGAACAGCAAGGTGGGCTCACAAAAGATGTGCACAACTCATGTATTATACAGAGCGAACATCTTCTGAACAAAGGTGAGTTGGTTTCTAAAGAAAGAGTATTCTTCTGTTTTAGAGATTCTGTTTAAGCACATAAAACAGTACACAGTATAGCGCGCCCTTAAAAAAAAACCGGGCATTTTTGCTTTTTCCTGTACTTTCCAAGAAATACTACACCAATGCACCATCTGGAAAAACACACTCCTTGACCTAACCTGTTAGGCTGGACTTATAAGTAATCTTAAAACACCTTGGACGCAGAAATCAATACTGGCTGCAGGCGGATTCGTGTGAAAATCGGTATCAGTTGCACCTGCAGGTAAACGACAGTATCTGCTTTCCGTCTTCGGTCAAGTGAGTGCCCGAAAGCCCCTCCCGTGACTTCCCCCACGAGATACACAGTCACTCGAGAAACCTTTGTGAAAAAAAACTATGAAAAAATTCTTGTTGCGACCACACACAACGGGAGTTTTTTTTCTCCATTGAATTGCAGAGTCGGGGAGTTCGCTCTGAATGCGCTAGCAACCTTGTTCCCGCAGGTTCCGCGCAGCTGTCTGCCGGTGTGTCCCACATTGTCATCCCTCAAAGACCTTTACAATGAAGTTATTCATCCACACAACAACGTGTTTCATCTGCACAACTTGTCATTTCTAAACTTCACGTGCATCTCTGCGAGATAAATAAAATGAACCACCTCGTCCATTCTGTAATGTAACTTATTGTCATATAAGCAATGTGCTCTTTTCACAAACCTTTTGTCTATTTTAAGCCCTTTCTTATAAGACCCCAGATTTACGTATAAAGAGCTGTATAACCTAGGTAAAAATCTTCAATGTTACACATTTCACCTTTTCTTTTAATAATTTACATTTCTTAAGGAAAGTGTATACGCGAGATTGTCACCGCCTAACAGTAAGCAGACCTTTAGATCCGTCTTCTCAACAGAGCAACAAAGGAGATTTCTGAATTTTCAAATCTGAAGTTGAGAAAATTCTCGGTTAAATGTCCTATATATAGGTCTCCGCATCGCACTTAAACTCAACGCAACAGAACCTTCTATCTTTTTAAAGTAAGGAAACCTGGATATACGGTATATACTGTACAGACACATAACAATCGCTAGGAATGCGGTTTCGATATATTTGAAACTTTTAATGAGTAAAGGACAAACATTTGCTCCTATACTGGTCTAACAATGGGAACCTTTATCCGCCACAAAACGTCTAAGAAGTTCTGAGATAAACATTTTTTTAATCCAGTATGAAGTATCCAACACACTCAAGCACGCACGCACGCTGCCTTCTAAAAAGTTTTTGTTTTATGCAGTAAGATAGTTCAGAAAAGTATAACGCATGTCACAATTACACAAAAAAAGTTATATTCCCCCCCACGCAACCTACACTGAAAAGTTTTTATCTGCACGCAATTAACCTTCCCACACATTTTGTAAAATGCTTTTTTGCACTCGATATTTTCATAATGGAATACGGGGGAAAAAAAACTTGGTTCCGAGGAAAACTAAATTCAAATGCATGATAAAGCTACAATAAAGCGAAATAATAAGACCGCACACTATAAAGTAAATTAACATGATACTACCACTGAATATTCTTAAATTAATAAATATATATGATCTTTTAATGGAAAATAGCAGTTATTTACTAGGGTTTATTAATAAAATCCCATCCTACCTTACTTGGTTAATTTCGTACTTCTCGAAGATAGTTTGAGCTCTTTACAGCCACTTGCACCCGTGTTTCTTTCACCCTTGCAGAGTGCCTTTCTGTTATCTGTCCCAGCTCTTTGTTTCTCAGAACTAGTTTGAGCTGGTCACATATGGACAACATTTAAATTAGCCACCCGGTGACATCATTTACCCCACGTGATAATAACTTTCAAACATTTTTCTGTCGCCGAACATCTCAGATTTGATATGTTGAGGACCACCGGGAAAAAAACAACACAAACCACACTTCATCGCTTGATCCAAATTTCAACTTAAATAAGCCAAGTTTCCCCCAAGCAGACTTCGTTACTGCAGCCTGACGTTCCCATTTCTTCCTTACTTTGTAACCCAACCACAGAGGTCTTTCAAACCTGTTTTACAACTGAAGTTCGACATTTTCCTTTCAGATCACCGAGTAATGCGGACAAAGTCTGGAACATATTGTTATTATAAGCAAGACCATTATTGCTCCTGCTTTAAAAAATATAAAGTTTCAGATAATCTTTTACTTTTTTATGTTTCAGTATTTTTTTCTTGAGTAATAATTAAAATAATACTTTATTAATAACATACAACTAGGGTTGCAATGATGCTCTTGAAATAGTCTTCTTCTATATGACATATAACTCAGTGTTATCAGAAGAATTCACTGAACACTGACAAACGCAGCATGCAGTTGTTAAAAAGATGGAATTTAACCTGGAAAATGTACTTTCACTGGATCTTTGCAATTAGAAATGGGCTCTCGTTTGTAGTGCAGTGAACACCATCAAGTGCAGTTCATATTTTACTGTAAGAATTGAGCTGAACTAGATTTGCAAGCTACTGAGGATCCCAGTGGCTTCTGGTTTCCTGTGGGCTGTCGAGAGAACACTCACTGTGGTCTCTCTGTCACCATGCTTTCTAATAAGCAGGGGGAGGCAGATGAGGTCTGAACCCCTTCCTCTTTGGTTTTGACAGTCGGCACTGGTAGGTCTGGGGTGTGAATAGTTGCTTGGAAAGAATGAATGGACTAGAGAGGGCTGTTCCTTGGGCTTCAATATGCAAGCAATCAAAAAGTGGGGAAAAATGAATTGCCGAGTGGGGTATTGCTTTCTCACAAGCTATTGAGTGGGAGCAGGCTTTGCTTTATAGTTTTTTAATTGCAGATGTAAAATAAATCATTCTATACTTAAGAGGGAGCTGGGGAGCTTGATGGGTTTGGTCATGGCAGGGGTCTTCTCCATTGCAATTTCCTATTCTCCAACCTCTGGAAAAAGCATATTGATGGCTGTGTGGTCTGGTTTGTATGGTTTGAATGATATGTGTATTATGTGTTACAATATATATGAGTGATATATTCTATGCCTACGTGATATCTCCAGCTAAGAGCCTGAAAACTCGACCATGGCTGTAACTTAGTGTTTCGGGCTGCTGAATGTAATTGGAATGGCGAGTAAAATATTGCCAGTATGCTGTATTGAAAGCACTGTTGAATGTGCAACATTGACACACTAGAGACTGACAATTAACAGATTATCAGAGACGGTAATTTCCTGTGGTTAAAATATGGCGTGAGCTACTGCTGGAATTCAGAGCAGCAGGAAATCTTCTCACTTTCCACTAAATTAATAGCAGCTAAGTGCACGTGTAATTGCCTGTTCTTGCCCTTTTATTCCTTTCCACATATAATCTTACCTACTGTGGGCACATGCAGTACACGACTGGATTGTGGATGTGGCAGGAATAATTCATCCCATGGATTTATTTAGCAATTAACAAATGCAAGAGTTCTTCTGTCAGAATTGATATTTTTTTCCCTTGCAAGTTACCACAGTCCTATCAGGTAACAAAAGTCCTTATCCTTCTAATCCTTGTTGTAAAGTCAAGTAACTTTTCTGAACTTGCACTTTATTTCTCAAAGTCTTTGTACTCTATGGTGGTCAATGTAAGTGAATCAAAGTCAGAGGAGGTGTGGTAAATATTAAAGTTTAATGTGAATGGAGAACTTCTTATCACCTTTGACAGGTGGAAATAGATTGAGCCATTTTGATGTGAGCACTAGGTGGTCAAGTTAGACACTCAATGCACCACGAATTAGAAAAAACTAAAACCCAGATAAAACAGTTTGCCGTTTGCTCAGTTTGCTATGCTGTGTCAGGTGTGTATAATGGCAAACATGTTTCATAAAATTTATATACAGTGTGTCAGTGTAATTTTTTCCAGTCACTCAACTCATGTCAGCTTCCTCTATATCTGGCTGTCTCTCATTCTGAAGTGATCATCTCAAGTGCTGGTGGCTTGACTAAATTTGTCTGCATTATACACAGTAGCTGAGTGATGATAAACCTTGATGCAGAGCACCTTGAACTTGTCCAGACTTATTAATGTCATTGAATTGCAAAGCAGTCCCATATTCTATGCATGTTGATCAGTAACACAAGCCTTTTCTTCAATAAGGCTGAGGAAATAAATACTGATCTGTTCGGTTAACTCCTTTGGATCAGTGTAATATTTTTAAAATGTGTAACTTTTGTTTTAATCTCAAAGCTTTAGCTGTAGATAATTTCAAAGGACCTAGAACATTAACTGAATTCTAACCCTTAAGGTTTGGCATTTTGCACTGGTGAGTTAGGGAAAGTTTATTCTTAAAGGCTGAAGGATCTTGATAATTTTGTTCCTAATCTCTAAATTAATACATTTTCAAAGGAAAGGTCACAGATAAATTGTTTCTTGGATTTAGAAATTGGTGATTCAATGGCGATCTATAAACCCTGCTGGATCGGGGCTCATCAGGAATCCCCAGCTGCAGATGAATCTTTCAATTAATATCCCTTCAATAACAGCATTTAAAACAGCAGCTTCACAGGACCAAATGGCTGATGGGACAAGAGATTTGTAAACAAGAGATATTGTGCTCTAGGAGTTGCTGTCTTTCGGATGAGACATTAAACCCAGATCCTGACTACGTGGTCATTAAAGATCCTGTAGTCCAGTTCCTTAAGAGCAGATCCTTATCTTCGCTAAATTCCACTTTTACAGTTTGAATTTCTTACTTCTCTACCTGACCTGCTGTGCACAATGGCTGCTGCATGTCTCACAGGTGGAAGATAATGTAAAGAAGTGGATGAAATGCATCCCCTCCTACAGTGCATGTATATCTAAAGTACTCAGAGATCCCTCAGGATGAAAAGTACTTGATAAATGCACAGAATTATTATCATCATCCTTCAGGAAGGCCAGTTGGGCTGGGAAACTATAATTAAGGCGCAGCTGTTATTCATACTGTAGTAAATGAATGAGTCAGTAGATTGTACAGAAGAAAGAGTATCTGTTTTGACTCTGATTGAAGGTGTCTGACAGCTGGTTTCCTCTGTGAATGAATGAGGCTTCACGAGTGCATTCACATGCACCTACCTTCTCTCTACAGTCTGCACACAATAGCCTTCCTCATATGCTATTAACAAAGTTAAATCACTGCATAATAAGATTCGAAACAACCTGCACTTAGTGGCTTTTATGATTTGAACGGTGATAAACTTTTTTTTTTCCTGGAGGGAACCAATCAATCTCAAAATATCGTATCTTAATGCCATTTTTCATTATGATTTCTAATTAGCAACCAAGTCTAGAATGAAAAGCTGGAAATTTCTGATCTACTGCTACTGCCAATACTGCCTTTTGTCCTTCATTAAAACACTGACTGTCTTGTTTCTTACCAAAAAAATCAAGTATCTTATGTTTTATTACCACAATATTGGCAGCTATACAAGATAAAGGAGATGTAACATTTAATACTAAATCCCCAAAGATGATAGACTACCGTGCATTTATTAAGTACAGCCTTAAAGCAAGGTAAAATAATGAATAATAAGGTAATTAATAACAGAGCCAATCATTTAAATAAATATGACTGAGAAATTGTCTTTAAAGTGTATGTTGCTTACAGCTTAACAACTTTTTTTTCAAATATTAAAAACACGCACGAGACAGCGCACCAACCACTGCAACATCTAGTGTGTCTTCAAAATAGTGTGAAACCAATTTCTAAAGGGAAATTTAGTCAGCATGTTTGATTTTGGTTGTCACCAAAATTCAGCAACGAGCTACAGATAGATTAGTCCCGCCTTGGTTTCATGAATTTAAAATGAAAGCCTGATCTTGAAGGCATGCAGAGCTTGAGATTAGAAGGGTCTGCTCTGACTGGTTGATGATGTCATTTCGCTAGGGGTGTAAGACCGAAACTGCAGCATCAGGGAAGGCAGGAAGTAAGGGGCAGAGGTTGTGTTTTTTCTAGCTGTGTATGGCTTTGTGTGCTATGGCCTGTTAAACTCTTTTAGCCTCCTCTTCTTCTTGGGCTGGCTGACAGAGTGGGGCAGTCATGCATGTCTCATTGTTTGTCAAAGCAGCCAGGTCCTATAAAAACCTTTCGCCTGGAAAGTTTACATTGAGGTCAAGCTGTGTGAGGAAATCTCTGCAGCTCTGCATCCTCTGCCGTTTTCCCAAAAGAAAACTGGGAAAATGCTCCTACTACAGAGTTCTCCTCTGCTGCAGGGAGGGCTTCCTGATCAAGAACATTCTGAATGTTGTTGTAACGGAACCATTGGGCTAGACTCAGCTTGGCTTCACCAATCATTTCTCTGTATTTAACGCCTCAAGGCATGCAATACTTTTACAGCGGGCTTCTGATCTGTTATTTTTGGCCGGTCAGTGTAATTTGCTTGCAAACAAGACTTCAAATCTCAGCTGAACAGATTACATTTGGCTAGTGAGTTAAATTTTGTTTTGTTTTTTTACAGTTGTTAGGATGAATATACAGTAGGTATAAAAGCTAATGCTTAAGTTATTTCTATAAGATGTGTCATTAAATTGGCTCCGTGTCATTGTGCGGGCAGTAAATTTACCGGGTTCTGGTGTAGTTGTGTGGACTCCTGTAGGACTGGTGTGAAATGAATACGTACTGTATGTGTTGATGTCTGTTATGCAAGGTTCTATTTATTTTTAATGCAATGTTTACTTGTAATATTTGTGTTTTTGTATGTTTCTGTGTGTGAAATATAACTATGATGCAAGACATATTTCTGAGAAATCATACAATAAAGTATTATCATATCCTAAAACAGATGT